AATTTTTAATCAATGTTCAAATGCAAAAAAGATCGGACCTAAGAGACCGATGTTAATCAAGAATGTTTTTGCCAAAGTCTTAAGGGCGAAGAGAGGAAAAATAAGTTACCTTTTTGCATAGGTATAAATAGAAGAATGTTAGAATGGTTTTACACATCAGCTTGACGTTGGGTACAGGGTATCTTCTAGTCGGCAACTTCCACCTAGCGCACACTTTTTTGTTCTTCTTTGACTTCCCTTGCTTTGCTGTCATTTTCTTATCAGCCTTGTAATCAGTACACAAGCGAAGTTCCACACCAGCTACAACTTGTTGGTAATATATCCCTTAGCTATCCTGACCGTGAATTCTCGGCCTGGTCAGCTGCTTCTTGGCCCACTTTTGCTCCATTGAAATATGCAAATACGCTTGTGATTTCTTGGGAAAAACTTTTCAATTGATTTTATGCGTAGAACTCAAATCCACATTTCAAGTTTGATTTTCCAATTGAATTTCAAATGGTGCTCCCCATTTTCTTTTTTTTTTTCTCGCATATCTTTATCCGCAAACTTTATGGAATCGAACATGAAATAATTAAATGTTGTGCGTTTATTGCGCAGTAGACAGAAAACTGCGACTACGCAGTGGCATACCCTGCAAAACGAAGTAATGGGGCATATATGTGACTTCAATTGTTTTGACTTGAAATTCCACAGTATTTGGAGTGCATCTTATGGTAAATGTTATTCTCTTTCCTCCTCCCTTTCTCTCGCTTATACTTTCTCTTTCTGTGCTTTTTTGATTAACTATGCAAATGAGCAAAAGGCAACTGTAAGACATGTTAATTATTTTATGCAGCGCAAAGGGTAGGGAACGATATTGACAGCTGAGTGGGGAGGAGAGCGGGGCAAAAGCTTAACAAGGCAGCGCTGATTGCATTTTGCAGCAGAAATTGCTAGCCTTAAAATATGAAACCCGTAGACCGTATGAAAAGGAAGCGAAGCTGAAAGTTAAAAAAATATCATGTATACGTAGCGTTAGCTGGCAGCTCGAAAATATCCTTTCATTAATTTAATTAAAGAGCAGCCAAGGCGCTCACAAAATGTGCAACACCAACAACAAAATGCCACTCGATGGAGATGAATTTAATTTGTGGGGCACATGCTTACTTACACACACAAACAAATCAATGTGGTTGTGCAGAGAAAATTGTAGACAGACAGTTTCTCGTGCAAATGCATTGCCCAATCGAATTTAAGCAGTTCTTAGTAAAATACAGTATTTTCTTTGAGACATGAAGAAGATAATTGATGAAAAATATAAAGAAAGAAGAATGTATAATAAATAAATTATAATTATGTCCACGAAAGAAATGTAATATTATTTTAGCTATTAGTGAAAGATATGCGATTTGTATACGCTATTCTGGCTACATGCTACATGTCAAATTTGGCCACTCTAGCGCTTATGACTTACGCGATTTGCTCAGAGAGTTTAAGCTTGTTATCGATTTTAATCGATTTCTTGGAAACTATTTCCAAATTTCAGGTCTCTAGCTCCTTTAGGTTCTGAGAAGGACACATTTTAAATTGCAGTTGTACTTGAACCAGCGTTTTTGCATTTGCTAGTTCAACCCGTCAACACCTTAACCAATCTCTTCATGATAATGAACCACATTTTCTTGAATCTAAACCAACTGAACATAATTCGTTAGCTTTATGCCAAGAGCTATTAAGCATGTGATTATCGTTCGGACCAAATGCTTTTGTTTGTGCAGATAAACGCAGCTTAAATGCTTACAGCATAATGCCCTGAAATGAAACCACAAACAGTTGTGGACCTGGTGCTGCGGCTGCCTTTTGTTTGGGCTCGTCGTCAGGCAATTTCGATGCACTCCAGCAATTATCTAGGCAGGAGAATGCACTGAGGAAGTGCGCATACGCCTTGTGGCCCAACCACAACCCCATGGCAAGCATGCATGAGTGAGGTTTGTGTGAGTGGGAGTGTGTGTATGTCTGCTTGTGTGCTGGTTCTTGCTGCAGCAAACTGCAGAGCGCGTTAAGTAGCTGCCAACAGAAGTTATAATCATGTTTATGATGATGGCAGCACGTGCCATACGCTGGGCATGTCAGAACACACATGGCTTATATGCATGTGTATGTTCATGGAAATTAGGGAAATCAATAAAAATGCTTCGGCTTTTCACTCTTCTAATGCGACCTCTCTAGTCAGCACCCTTGTTCTCTTTCTCTATACAGACTCGCAACGTTTCTATTACTAGCTCGTTCTTTTACTTAACCTATCTCTCACACTCTCTTTTACGTACCGCCCTTCTTTGCGATTCTCAAACATTTAAGTAGTGCCCCAACTATTGCTGTGCTTATCATTTTTTGCAATTATTTACATTTTCCCCTGATTTAGTAGCTGTCTCGCGCAACTTGATACAACTTTTAAAAGCGCTCGTTTCGCGAGATGTCAGGAGAGATGAAATATATAATTTTTGCGCCCATTTTCTGCATAGCTCGACGCTCTGCCACACGCCCACGTAAAATTTTTCTCTTAACTTGGCCTGCACAAATTGTTGTTGAAAACTTTTAATGCTCAGCGCGTTGAAAACTTTTCGACTAATTGCATTACAAGCGGAAACGTGCAATATTTATGAATGTGTATATGTGCGCACACACAGATACGCGCACACATACACGCACATAGATACACACACATACAGACTGCGTGTGAGTTGAGCTTAATTAACAGCAGGAACGACAGGCAGCTAACACGCTGCTCCTTGAGGCTGCCGGCAACTTGAGCTCATTGCTCAGCTTCCTGTTCACTTGTTCTGTTCATACCCTAAGCCCATTAAAAGAAGGCGAAAATAATGGATATGCCTAACTTGTGCGTCAATTTAAAGGCAGAAAATGATGTCAAATATTTGTCGATCTCAGAGACCGACAGAAAACCAGAATGATGCCAAGCAAAATTATAGGCCGATGTTAAGGGAAGCTACTGGGTATCTGCCAGTCGTACCCCCATCAGCAGTGTGCCCCTAATTGTTATTGTTATTGGCCAGAGCTCCAGCTATATAAACAGCTAGCAAGCTGAAGCGAGGCAATCAGAAGGCGGCCCTAATGAGCTGCACTGCTGATGGAACTTCCTTTCATTTGTGGCAGCAGCACTCGATACAGTTACCACTCTATATCTTCTATATGAGAGAGTATGTTCTGACTAATTGACTGTTTGGCTGATCAAAGCTAACGAGCTTTTGGGTCGAAAGTGAGCGATAGGATGGCATTTTTGAGGGTTCGGACTCCAAAAGAGGGTCAAGGGCGTTTGAGCAAATGTATGTAGAAAACATCAACTAAATTGCGGGCATATGCGATTTGCGCTTGTTGAGGGCTAGATATTTGAGCGTCGAACTAGCAGGAGAGAGCTCGCTGGGTCAAATATATATATGATATCTACATATGTTCACTTAAACTATTTTGATTGACAAAGAACAGGAAATAATAATAGAAAAATAATAACAATTGAAAAATAAACAACAATGGTTTTTAACATGTATTCCGTTTATTTTCATTATTTTATATTGTCTTATACATTTCTTGCCAGCTCTCAGCCAGAGGAATGTGAAAATTCAAGAGCTTCATTTATTTATCGATTAATCTTTTATAAAAATAGCTTTTAATTAGCCACTTATCGATTATAATCGGCAATTGGCTGGCTTAAAAACTTGTGCACACAACATTTTTGTGGCCGGCAACATCCCACAAGCATATAAATTAATAAAGTTATAAATTATTAATAAACATAACGTGAGCTTGGGCTTGGCTTGCCACATGCCACATGTGGCAGTCAGGCAGCTAATCGAAGCTGACATCGTCTTGGCAGCCTCTCTGCCGGGAGAGAGACAATGGGGCATGTCTGCTTGAATAGGTTTTTCTAATTAGTGCGTTTCTTGGCAAATGATCCTTGGGCTGCTTTGGAGGTCGCCTCTTTTATTTCGAGTGTATGAGTCCTTGTTGTGGCCCCTTGCATGTCCTGTGTGTGTTTTGTCGCCTGCAGCTGACTAAAACCGCACAAATTAAATCAATAAACCGCCCTTGCCCTTGCCCTTCGACACTTGGCATGGTCGCTGGACCACATTTATGTCCGGCTGTCCACTTGCTCCATTGGATGCACTTCTCTCCGGGCACGTGTGTCTGTTTCTGTGTGTGTGTGTGTGTGACTGTGTGTTTATGTGAGTGTCTGTGTATGTGCTTGTGGCAAAGGCAAATGGCTGCCCATCACCAGCATCATCTTTATACCCTTTCAATGGGCATTACACTATGCTGACAAAATGTATAACACATAGATGTTGACTTATCTCCATAAAAATATATATTTTAATTAATTTCAATTTTAATGCTGTCTTCATAAAGCTTGACATAGTTCACCCTTTTTAATAGACTTCACTCAACCAAGCTCTAATAAACTATGAACTCAATTCTTTAATAAAGATTTTATTTAATTTATAAAGCATTTTCAATGAACCTTTTAAGTATTTTATTTATAAGAGCTTTAGACAGACTCTTTTCGATGTATCTAATCTATGTGAACTCGTCTTTCTTAAAAGCTGTGTACCCGAAATTTGGTTCAGTTACCTTTCCTTGCTCTAGGTAATATATAAATAAGACTCGACCGAATTTGACTACTATATCTTATAGCTCTCATATGAAAGTTCAGTCTAAAATTAAATGTTTGTAGAAAATACTTGAATGCTTTTCAACATATCAGAGCTTTACTATGCTCTTTGCATTATTTAAGTCTTAAATTAAGTTTAATTCAGAAAACTATATATATTATAATATGTATTAGATATATATAAATATATATCTATGGGAGCACATTCTCGTGTAATTTAAATTTTTGCATGCCTCCAAGTGTATATAATTTTCGGCTAGTCGAGGACAACTATTTTTGTTTTTTACATATTTTCATCGATTCTCAAATCGGGTTTGTCTCTCGCTATTTCGTGTCGTTGCAGCTGGGCAATCAGGAGGCCACCTGGGTTGTGGCCGATTATATCGCCAGTTCGGGCAGCAATGAGCTGAGCGTCAGCAAGGGCCAGCAGGTTGAGATTATTGAGCCGCCCACAGCCAGTGAGCCGGACTTTTGTTTGGTCCGCCTTAATCCACAGCATGACGATTCGGCCGTACAAGAGGGACTCGTGCCCGTTGCCGTGCTCAAACCGCCGCCAGGCGCTCACAAGCAAGGTTCGTCGGGAGCAGCAGCAACAGCAGCTGCAGCAGTAGGTGCCGCACAGAAGTCCAACAACGACAATAGCATGCAGGATCAAGGTGAGTTCAAATTTTAAAAAAGAAATGGAAAAGAACGTAATAGAATAATCTGCATGAACTACTGCTTGTTCCACTTCAGGGAATCGCGGCAAGGCGGATGCATTGTCCTCGTCAACCAAGCGACGCGGCTTCAGTGGGTAAGTTTCTCACTTCTTTTCAAGTCTTTTAATATGCGCAAACAGATGTGTGTGTGTGTGTGTGTGTGTGTGTGTGTGTGTGTGTGTGTGTGTCAAAAGTCAAGTCACAACTTGGCCAACTTAACTTGGCTCTGGCATTCTTTCACAATGGCCTTTGGGCCACGTCACAATCTGAACCTGAACCTCAACTGAACTGCGCTCGCTGCTGACACTCTTAAGTGACTGTTGCATAATTTATCTGCTTGGCCATAAATAGCTAGTTGACTTTAATTCAAGGACTTTGCTGCTATCACGAAACAGCCTTGATTTAAATAATTAACAAGTGTCGCCCACGTCCCTTAAAGTAGATTAAAATGTCAAAAATGTAGGTTAGAGATTGCGGCTAAGAAATAAGGTAAGCTCGACACGTTTACCTGCTGTTCTTTAAGGAAATTCAGGTTTTCTGTAGTAGTAATCAGATTTTCCAATTTATATATTAATAATTCAAAATTGCTGCTAGATTTGAACTAGCGACCTCACGATTGTTAGTTTAACACTCAATTAACCTAGTCAAGAGGTTTTAATAAGGTTTGGTTATTAGTTCATGGTTTTCCCTCTAAAAAAATCTGACATTTAAACATGTGTCCAGATTTCCCACCCCCATAAGTCGGCCAAAAATCAACCGATTTTCATGAGGCTTAGCATTTTGTTCATGGTTTTACCTCTTAAAAAATCTGGCATTTAAATCTGAACACATATTTTTGGGTCGAAATTCATGTCAAAATCTTACCCCTAGGATTCATGGATAGACATGGGACGAAATTTCCCACTCCCATAACTTGGCCAAAAATCAACCGATTTTCATGAAACTTGGCATTTTGTTCATTGTTTTCCCTCTCAAACAATCTGGCATTTAAATCTGAAAACATATTTTTTGGCCGAAGTTCATGTCGAAACCTTACCTCTAGGATTCGTATATATAGATGGGTCGAAATTTCCCACCCCGATAACTCGGCCAAAAATCAACCGATTTTCATGAGGCTTAGCATTTTGTTCATGGTTTTCCCTCTCAAACAATCTGGCATTCAAATCTGAACACATAATTTTTGGTCGAAATTCATGTCCAAATCTTGCCCTAAGGATTCGTAGGTAGACATGGGTCGAAATTTCCCACCCCCATAACTCGGCCAAAAATCAACTGATTTTCAAGAAGTATATAGTGAGCCGCCACACTATTTAATAAAATCTGCTAAAATTCTTTGTGCAATTCTATTATCATAGCTGCCCAAGCTCCCCTGTTAGTTTCATAAGAGCTACAGACTTTATTTTGGCCAAGTTTATCAGGTGTTTGTGTGCGTGCAGGTAAACATAATCGCTATCAAACAACGTTGGTTGTCTCTGCTGGTCAGGGAATCAAAAAACCAATTGAAAAAGCATGTCATAAAATTTATCAGGCCTCTTACCCGTTTTTTCTGCGCTCAATGCGGCCCATAGAGCTCTCCGGACAGATAAGTAATTGCCGCATTTACGTAATTCGCGCATAGTATAAACTTCTCTGTAATATAGGGTGTATATAAATATGTGTGCTATGTATTATAATTTTATATCAGAGCAAGTCTGGCGTCGGGGATTTATCGTGCATTTGGCGGCTACTGCATATTTCTTTGTCAGCTTGTGCTTATGCGTCATTGGGGGCTAGTTGGACACATGAAATGTGGGATTATGCGAAGTTCCAGAAATTAACTTTTGCATTAAATTTTAAATGAGCTGGCACTTGAACTTGTTTTAATTATGCGAATATTACAAGGAAATTAAATTGAAAATAAGCTCCTCAATTATGTTGTCATCTTACAAGATAAAAAATTGCCAGTTTAATATTTTTATTTCTTATGAAAACCACAAATACTTTTTATATTTCCCAGCACACAACATTTAATCTCTTAAAGCCTTTGCCTTGAATACAAATTTTATTTTTTCAATAATTTCCCAGTATTTAATTGTCACGTCGTGCCTTGACTAACATTTTGCGCTTGGTCTAAAATCGCGTGTCGCGCGTCTCGGGTGCGAGCCATAAAGATATAAACCTATTACACTCAGCTCAAAGGCAACAACAATAACTATACAAATACTCGTAAAACCGAAAACGTAGAAAGAACTTTATTTATACATACCCTGTGTGCATAAAAATATGGAAACTGGGTATGCAAGAGATGTAGACATCTATGTAACAGAGAGCAAATGCTGCTGTTGTGTGCTTAAACTATATACATAAAAAAAACTTCAATTAAGTTTAAATACTGAGCTTGGTTCAATGTCACATTAAACTAAATTCAAGAAAGCTTAGCTAAATTTAATAACTGCTTAGAACAAATACCAAAAGAAAGCTACATACTAAATATTTCAGCCATCCTCTCTACGTAAATCTGTGTAATTTATTTGTGACCATATTGAACAAAGCTTTAGAATTGAGAGCAGCTAGCTAAAGACGAACTTTCCAGGGTATCTGCTAGTCGACTACTCACAGTTAATATGTATTTTTTTTTTCATTTTGAGAGCGCGAATTCGCTTAACTGTTGCTCACAGTTGGCTTTTATTTATTCTTTAGTTACTCTTTGTGTTGTGCACACTCTTTGAAGCAGCCCATAAAGCAACAAAAACAACGACTCAAGGGGCTGGACGGGGGTTGGTGGGTGATTTCTCCAGAAAGCGAAAGCCTGGCGAGCTGTAGAGCTTGCCCATGTTTTTGGTTGAGCTTGTGGCCTCAGTTGTTTGCGAAACGCCGGAACGAAACGTTACGTATACGCAGCGTGGAATGCAAAACGCGTTCGAAATTGTCTTAGATTGTTGTGAGATATTTCGTAAGCCTTATCAGTCATGTGTAACAACAACAATAGCTGCTCAGATAAGCAAATAAAAAATGGTGTGCATTTCGGCAACGGCAGTGCCACCCCAAACACAGATAATGATAATAACAATTTTGTGAACCAAGCCAAGCAAATGAAACGCTACTCGGCGATTCAAGAGCGGCCCAAACAACCGCAACCGCAACTCTTCAAGTCCATATCGCTGAACATCAATGGGAATGGACGACCCTATCACCAGCATTCAGTCCATGTGCATAACCAGAAGCAGCCGGGCTTTGCCTGTTTCTGTTGTGATCAGGAGGAGCCGGCGACGCCGACGCCGATGCCATGCATTGATGAGCACCGCAAAACTTGGTAAATGCAGCTCACATTTTTAGTCCCCTTGGACCACCTGAAAAGGCCGTTGGGTGCTTTGGGAAAAAGGGGTTTTGTGCAAATTTATGTAACAGGCAGCAGAAAGCATCTTCGACTCCGACCGCCGTGTCGATATAGACATTGCCTTTTGTCTGTACGGAATGTATAAACGCGTCGATCTCACAATCTTTAAGAACTAAAGACTTGACAATTTAAATATAGGTCCTCCCAGTGCCCGCGCAGTACGAGTTTGCTTTCGATAATCGATAACTTTCCTCTACTTCCAGAATATTATATAAAGATGAAGTTTTTTCATTTTTTAAGTAGTGCCAATTCCAAGAAGCTTTAGGCTATCTTCTAGTCGGGCACACCCTATTAGACCACCTTTTACTTGTTTTTTTTTCTAGTAGTGTTCGATTAGGCCCCCGTGAAAAAGCCAGTGCCCGTTCATTGTACATTTCAGCACAATGCATAGCCTTTGTTTGCTTTGCGCTAATCCAATCTCTGCGTTTGCCCTCACGTTCAATCAGATGCCCAAACTCATAGAAGTCGATTTGGAAGAGCAACAAAATGTTGCTCATATGCAGTCGCCCAACCCCCCTCCCCCCTTCCTTTCCCTTACATCGGCCCGATATCAGCTTTGAATTTATTTTGTTTTTCTTCATTATTTTTTTGGTTGTTTTGTTTTATTGTTGTTGTGCAATGATATCCAAAAAGTGACTAAGCATTAAAATCTTGGTGGACTCGTGTTGCGATATATATATGTATATGATATATTTGATTTATTGTCAGCAGCGTCTGCCGCAGAACCCAGTCATATATCTGTTTACGTATAGCTTATAGATAAATACATGTGTCTGATTAGAGACTGCTGCAGTTTTGGGTTGAGCACGTTTTGTTCTTAATTTATTCAGCTTTTTCTGCATTTAAGAAAAGAAAACAAAAATTTTTGGATATTTCGAAATGTATAATTTGACTTTTGTAAAAATCTCGAGAAATATAAAAGTTATTAAAGGCTTCCATCAAAATAAGTTGGATTAGGTTTCAGAGAAGCCGCATTAAAATATTCCTAACTTCAACTGAAAAAATCTCTGAGATACGCAGACCTTTAAACAGATTTGTGCTCTACATAAGAATAATTACTTTTAGATCAGCTCGAGCGTAATTCTAAACATGCACAGACGTTATAAATATAAATAAATATGTAATGGGGAATATTTTCAGTGCAATGCGAAGCGTTACAATCGATTTGCGTTAATATATATAGAAATATATATATATAATTTTTTGTTTTGTTTATAATTATGGGAACTTCCAGAGCGATTCGCGTGCTCCGCTGTTTAAGTCCCTCAGCTGGCTGTTGGCCAAGTTAACAGCCTAGCCTAGTCGCAAACCGGCTTAATGTTTCACACAGATGTTTGCGCTAATTGCTCGAAGCGAAACCTGTTTTCCAGCATTGCAGCATTTATCGTATGGAATTGCCTTTACATTTGTTCCTCTAATATTATTTAATTTTTATATAGCTCTTGTTTTTTCCCTTTTTTTTCTTTGAAATCAAAACAAACAGAATACGGCGGAGGCGGGGAGGGTAGACTCCGTGTAAACATTGCACAGCCTTGACGAATTAGTCAGCGCTGCCGCAGCTTAAGGCGGCAGCTGGCGGCGACTTCGTCATTTCTGATAAGCGGCAATTGAAGAAGTTGCAACTTCCTATAGAAGGTTTTTATATATTAATCACCCTCAATGCGGTCAAATCGTTTGTTTATTTTTTTGCTATTTTCTATTTGTAGTTTAAGTGCTTTGCTTTCCCACAAAAGAAATAGCTCTAAATTTTTTTCACAACTTGATAGTTTATAAAAAATATAACTAATATACAGCTGTATTGCGATAAAGGACATTTTGCTAGCTCTAGCTGTTGGGTTCTTCCAGTTTCGACAGATATTTGTTATATGTATGTACTCCGCATGTCCGCATAATCTATGTGTAATTACAAATTTTTAGCGGACATCGAGTGCCGTGTTTGTAATTACCTTTTCGCTTGAAATTCAATTGACTTTTGGGCGATAAAGTATCAACTCCTGACAATCTTATCATTATTATCAGCTTTTCATGTTGACCAACGATTACAAATACTGCGCGCTGTTTCTACAGGTTCTTTAAAGCGAATTGCCTCAGCCTAGCTCTGATCTAGTTTCGTACCAATTCACGACTTAGCTCCAATTTATAGGTTTTATATGTTTTAACAAGTTGATAAGTGCGTCAATGTGGAAAACTGTAATAGCTAGAGACTTGAAGTACGAATTATATACTCCACTCCAGCACGAACTAATCATATTTTTTATATTTGCTCAGTTTTTTACAATATCGATATATATCGAGCTCCGATTTACCGATTTTAGATGTTGAATCAACTCGATAAATGTGTCAATGTGGAAAACTTTCAACGCTTGAGACAATGAGCTATATGCTGCAGCATATCAAGCGCAGCACGATTTATTATGATTTATTTCGATATCTGTTTCTGTTTACATAATATCGATAAATATCGATTTGAATACATGTTTTTATCTAGCCAATTTGTCGCATTTAGATGTTGTATCTACTCGATAAATGTTCTATCCAAGCTAAATACTATAACTATTTAATTCTAGACTCTACTATACCAGCAACACGAATTTATTATTTATTTCGATACCTTTTTATTAACGTCGATAATTATCGTTTTGCATGCATGATTTATTTTCCTAATCTCTCTTGTTATAATTATTGTTTAGATTAACTAAATGCATTTGGCCAACTTATTTATGTATTTGTTTATAGAGTAGCCTCCGTCTTGCTACTCTATAAATATTAATCATATAAAAGCCAAATTGTACGGTTTCAGTAAGTTAGTTGATTTAGTTTGGACATAAATTACAAAATACTTTCAATATTTGCACACTAATTGGGCATTTTGCTCGGCCGAGTGAGCATTGAGCAAAGCAATTTCTTTTCATTGTTCTTGTTCTTGTTGTTGTTCTTGTTGTTATTGAGTCAACTGCTGAACATGAATATAGATTATTGTCAGACACGGCGTGGCGTTTTTCCTGTGGCAATGCGCAGCTCAGCTCTCCTTTAGGCGCTTTGTCTCAAGCGCTCTGTCAATAAGCGCGTTTATTTGTGCCCCCGGGCGGAGGAGGGTGGGCGAGCAGCGCGTGCTGCCAAGTCCAATGAACTAAATGGACACATTTGCAAGTGTGCTAACACACACACACACACACACACGCACACACACATACATGAAGACGGCAAAAGCCGCGCAGCCTTTGTTGCATACTTTGGGGCGACCTCATTAATACGCAGCCCCGCCTCTGGCCACACACACACACACACATGTGCATATGTACGCATGTGTGTATATGTGTGTGTGAGTGTGTATTAAACGTTGCTTATTTGCCTAAAACATTACATCAGCCAAATGAATTTTGAACGTGAACGAGCACGTAATAAATTAAATACTATTTCCAGGAACAGCTCCCTACATACTCCCCCCCACCCCCCTCTCCACGCCATTTTGTTGTCCGTGTCAATGTTTATTTTTACTTTGAATTATGTTACCATGCTTGAGGGTTGTCTTCAGTGCAGGTGTCGCCGGACAGGCCCCCTTTGCCCTTGCCCTTCCTCCAACCTGGCTGCAAATTCACTCAGCTGATGAGCTGCAAGCGCCGCGTTGTATGCAACGCGTATTTTTCCTCGACATTTTCAATGTTTTCGATTCAAAGTGAAATTGAGCTAAAATATTGTAATAAATTTATCAGGCACCCTGGAGGCCGACTCACGCACAGCGCCGCCCCGCCAGCCTGGGTCAGGTTAATGACTCTTGAACCCATGCGGTTAATGCGGTTTCTTTTCTTTCTTTTTATTTTTTTTTTTAAATTACCTAACGCAAAGCATGTGTGTGTGTGCGTGCGTGTGCTCGCCGTCTGTTTTTGGCATACAAGTTGACCGCAGCCCTCGTACCGAATGGGTATCTATAAAATGGGGCTAATGTGGTTGAACTTAATTATAAACACATTTATTTACATAATAATATTCGCAACAAATTGAAAACCGCATAAGGGAATTTCTCTTTGTGTATTATTATGTGCAGACTCCTGTTGAAGGATTAGAAAAAGCAAGTACTTTAACGAGAAAGTTAATTGAAATTAAAGCGTGGGTGTGCCAAAATTGAGGACTGGTTCGAACCAAGTTCCATGGGTTAAAGTTCGATTCGTGGATCTAGTTTGAACCTGAGGCCTTGCAGTCGCGCATCTAGATTTCTAGCTCCATAAACCCATAAAACAGTTGAATTTCTAATTATCAAATGCCAAGAGTAATTTATATTTCAATCCGAGATGTTGATTAAAAGGGATTTTAATCTAGCGGCTTTTTATCTGGCTAAAATTGTGTTGATTTCCACAACAAATTTGGAAACCTCTCGCATTTTCAGCTGTTATCATTTGAGCCGTGCAACGTCGGGTAATTTCCTTTTGTTATTTAATAATCTAAAGGTTCGCTACTTTTCTTCGCAGTGCTCAACAGTCACCTGTTTCTTTGGCATACTCAGCCATGCTCTGGTCCTTATTCCCTGTTTGATTTAAATTTTTTGCCTTAACTTTTTGTTGCCTTAACTTTGCTGCCCAAAATTAATCAACATTGTTTTTTACGGCCAGTTGGCTGTTAAAAAATGAAAACTTTCAACATAAAAAAAAAAACTGAATGAAAATGAAAGCAGAAATCATAAAAACAAAAACGAACTCAACGAAATAATTTTTTTTTTTGTGGCGGAAAAAATGGCATTTTAATAGGCAACAAATAAATGTGTATGAAAATGTTCAGGGGGAAACGCAATAAATTTGGCTGGCAATGAATGCGCTCTCGTCACACGCTCTCTCCCTCTCTCTTTCTCTCTCCGCGTCTCTCTTTTTCGCCCTCTCTCACTCTCTCTCTCTTTGTGTGCCATGAACTTGGCCCCACTGTGCGGCGATATGCTGCTGTGCCTCTGGCGACAGTCTCATGTCGGCCACGCAGCTGGACAGCCCAATTGGCCACGGGTCGGATGCTTGTTTTTCTTTTATTTGTTTGACATTTTTAATTGCGTATACGACGTGCTGCGCGCGAGGAAAACACACACAAGCGCCATGGACGAGCTCGTGCATAGCGCCACATCAATACGCATGTTCCTGTAGTTCACACAACCAGATCCTTAATCTAATTCAACTCTTTATAATTTTTGGCATTCTTTTATTTACGTTTTGCAGGCGCAAATGGCTGCCGCAGCCGCTGCGTAAACTGTCGCAGACCAAAGTGGAGAAGTCACCCAATGAGAAGGCGCTTTTGAAGAAGCCCTCGGAGAAGAATCTGAGAGTGAGTTCTTATTTATAACGCAATAATATCATGCATATACATAAATATATAATATTTTTAACGCGTCTGCTTTGCAGCTAACACAGAAGCACACCGAGGAGCTCGCCGAGCAGACGGGCAGCGGCGCCAGCGGCGGGGTTGGCCAAATGCCACCGCAATTCCCCAATGTGAGCGTACAGCACCAGCCGGACTTTGAGCCCGAGGAGGAGGCCGGCCTGGAGCTGCCGCCGCCCATGAAGCCCATACAGGAGCCACATTTGATGGCCAATGGACCGCCCGCCTTTCCCAAGGATCTCAAGGAGAGCTCAGCCAATTTGGTGAGTGTGCGAAATACTCAGATTTATATCTATCTATATATATATTTATATACATATATGTATATTTATATCTATATAGAGTCCAGCAGGCTCTCTCAGATATTTGTTTACCTTTTATCTAATTGCAATTGCATGCATATTATTGATATAAATGCAAATATTCCAAATGTTAGGCACTTATTCTGTTTAAACTAATCATAAATATAATAGAAGCAATGCCCGGCGTTGTTCGGCCAAAATAAATAATGTTTATTTGGCAAATTGCAAATAGTACTGAGAAGTATCCGCGTGTATAGATTCTCCGCATAATGCTCACAAAGCAACTCATTTCAGTTCCCATCATTCATTTATGTTCTCCTTCTTATATTATTGTGCCTTATCGGCTGTTGATGCTGATCTGGAATATATATACTATATGTTCGGAAATGTTTACTTTAATGCTTAACACATTTAATGACAACATTATGTCACCCTCTTGATGGTTATAAAAATACAAAATTAAGCAAGTTCTGTTGGACTTGAATCGGCGACTTTCCGTTTGCTGGTTCGACGTCCAAACACTTCTGGCGTCACATTTGCAAAGTGAACTTTTTCTAAGTCCGTTGTTGATGTTTTTCTTAAAAACATTCATTGAGAATTCGCCCCTTTGGGAGCTCGAACTTCCCAGTGCCTACTTTTGAACCAAAAAGAACCTTTTTTTTAATATTTCAGCTACCTAGCTCTTACGAATTGATCTTTGAGTTGTTCGCCAGTTATTCAAGAGAAATAATCTTATATATAGATTATTTAATATATAGGAGCAAGCGCCTTTGACAATATGATAAGGATAGATGATAGATAGATAAATAGATAGATGGATAGAAAAAGAGAAAGATATAGATAGATATACAGATAGATAGATAAAAATATAGATAAACATAGATCTAGGTAGATAGATGCATGGACACATACATATGTACATATATAGATAGATTGATAGATGCATAGATAATCAGATATACCGATATACAGAATGATAATTAGATAAACCGATAGATAAAAGATAGCTAACCAATTGACTTGCACTAAGAGCAGCTCTTCTTTGCTTCCACACAGAATATATTTGGTAAATTGTTGAGTTTGTTCAGAATATTTTTATTTTTGGCCTTTGTGCTTGCAATTTGTTTGTTTTGGTCTCTGGCAGCGTGTGTCTGTTTGTTGACTTGTGTATTTCCCAATACAAATCAAAACAAAAGCAAAAGCAAAAACAAAAACAATTGCACAAAAGACACGTCATGGAAATTGTGCTTGGGCAATCCGAGCACGAGTTGCTCGCTTTGCTCAATTAGAAAGCATAGCAAATAAAACAGATCGCAGCAGGTGGTGGGCGGTGGGCGGTGGGTGTGGGTGTGGGGCAGCCACCTTTTCCCATAAATGCGCCACTTTATTTTGTTTACACGCTCATCAAGAGAGCGTGAGGCAGTGGTGGGGTGGGGTGGGAAGGGGAGGCGGCGGGTCAGAACTTGGACACACAAGCCTCTAGGGCAAGATGCTAAGATGCTTGACGCCTCCAACAATGGGAAACAACAACAATCAACTAAGACACAAACACACACACACACACCCGCACCCGCGCACATCCTCACGTAACACGCGACGCATAAATTGTGCGCATTCAAATTAGCTGGCAAAAAAAAAAACACTTTGGGCAAATTTCAGCTTCAGATTTAGTTTGAATGTGGTGGGAGAGTGGGCGAATAAGTGGGTGGTTGGGTGGGTGGGTGGTTTGGGTGTTTGCCTGCTTTAAATGGTGGCTGGCGTACTTGACTCTCCGGCTGAGATGCTAATAAATCGCTGGCTGCTTTATTAACCGGAAATGTTGAATGCAACATTTGTCATTTGGCAGGCGAAAAAAAAAAGTTGAAAGTCATTTTTGCAGCACTTGAATTGATATAAGCTGGAAAATTTCGCGGGAATTAATTTCAAAAGTACAAAAATAGTTAGACATTCATTTGATACTCAGTTATTTGTGATATACCCTAAAGCAATTACTAGGAAATATAACTCAATACTGTTGAGCTGTGGGCCAGGCATACGCACTTGTTAGAGCAAATCAAATCTATATTTAATGTTTGAACTAAGCTCGTTAAAATTAGTTAGAGAGGGTGTATTAGTTTTGCATAGGAAGCGATCTGAACAGGAGGCAATTGAGTCGAGTAGAAACTCTAAGCTGTAACTTTAGTCGTCTCTAGACTTTTGGAGCAGTTGGAGCTCAAGTGTAAATAAGCGGTGAAATAGTTAAATATTTGTAAAGTGCGTTTTTATTAGTCATTCGGTTGCTTTAAGTATGTAATAAACCGAAGACAACATCTTTGATCTTTTAGAATATTTAGAAATATAATATATATGGGAATATACATATGCATGTGTATCTATATGTATATACTTGACACTTAAAAAGCTAGATATTTATATATGTTAAATATATATGCTCCTCTATTATAATAAAATTGAGTTTACTTGCTTTTTTCGATAAATCCTTAACTCGAAGACTTTTGTGTTTATTTTTTTATGTTCAAAATAGTTGATCTTAGAATAAGTTACACAATTCCCAAAAAAAAAACATAAAATAAAATAATGAAAAAGTAAAGATATTTGCGACACGCTGAAAATTTAATAGCCTTGCAGACACTTTCCCTAAAATGAACATTTCGAGCTTGGCTTTTCATACAAGAAGGAGGTTCAATCCGGCCTGTTGCAAAAGAAAGTCGGACTAAGTTTCAAGATGAGAGCTTTATTTGCACAAAAGTAGATATACGGATATATATGAACTATATGAGCTCGGCTGTTGATGCTGATCTGGAATACTTATATAAGATGTCTCCTTTTGTGCGTTACACATTAAATGACTTAATTATAATACACTCCACAAGGGTTCAGCCTTGGTATTAACACATTTTTGCATATTTTAGCCCTTAAAAATGCATAAAGATCGGACTCTAGATACCGAACTTTATTACGTGAACATAAACAATGAATATTTTTATAGAATATATCTTTAATGCTTGTTAGGACAGTTTGACGTCAGATTGAGGGTATCTACTAATTGGACACTCTCAACTTAAGGTCATTTTTATTCATTTAATTTTTTATACTTTATTTTTTTGCTTGTCATATGAGAACTTTTCCAGATTTTCTCTGCAACTTTTCCCACTGCTGCAACTATATTCCCACCCACCCTTAACTCCCACGAAAGTTCCCAAGGTAAATGTGCAACAACAATCGTTAGTTTTGCGTCTATTTTTAGATGAGAGTATTAAAGTTCGGCTCGTTGAGTTTTCCATTGAATCAATGTCATATCCATTACGATTACGAGATAATTCTCTAGGGGGATACGCTAAATAGCGCCCCATATTGTCTTTGGATGTCATTAACAACAAGCCAATGACTGCTGTCTCTCGCTGTGTGGGTGTGCCTGTGTGTGTGTGTGTGCGTGTGTGTGTGTGTGTGTGTGTGTGTGTGACGCCAATGCGACTTCTGTCGCCACTTGGACGCCCGTTGCCTTCATTTTCATCAATAAATTTAATGTCGTCTGCGTCTGTCTCTAGAATGTTTTTCTTTTCATTTTCCTCTCTCAGTTTTCTTTCTTTTTTTTCGCCTTCTATTTTATGGCTTATTAGTTGAATTTAATGTAAATTTGCGTTGCCTTGTAAAAGTTTTTGCTTTTCCCCGCTCTTTTTTTTTTTGCTGTTGCTATTTTTGTACAATTTTAAATTTCTATACTCCTTCGCAATGTGTTCAGAGAGTATATTAGTTTTGTGCATTTCAAGCTAAAGACTTGACATTCTTATAATATCGATAAATAACGATTTTGGGATATGGTTTTTTAAGGCTTAGCTCGGAAATTATAAGCAATAGCTACGACAAACTTGATATGTAGGCCTTAGTATAGAAAATCTATCTAAAAAATTATTATATTTATTGGGTCCATTCCTAAAGTGGAAAAAAAAAATACTTTTTTATATGTTTCTACACACTATTGTACCACATTTTTGCCCCACATAAGCTCTGATACATTTATAAAGATGGATTATATTCTGAAATATAAGTTGATCAAGCAACTGCTAGTCATAGGCACTTCTCATTGTAAATGGTTAAAAAGGGTATATTTTCGTACAAATGTATGTTACAGGCAGAAGGCAGCATCTGCGACCCCTTAAAGTATATATATTCTTGATCAGCACAAATGGCCGTATCGATTTGGCCAAACGCGTCGATCTCAGGTCCTAAAAGAGCTAGAGACTTGAACTGAGGTCCTCCAATGCCCGCTCTGCTTATCTATAACTTGCCCAGTTTGCAATCTTGTTTTTTTTGAGCAAAAATGTCTCCGGACTTAAGAGCTACAGTCTTCACATTTAACATGTAGCTTCTAGAATACAGATCTATGTATACAGATAAGTATCTCACATTTTATAACTACTGCTCGGTAGAGCCGGGTAGAGTCGGGCATCCCGACTAGCGCCTCTTGCTGATTTTTTTTTTTTTGTTGTTAATGTTTTCCTGTTTTTGCCATCTGTTTGTTTATCTGGCTTTGGGGCAGGGTGTGAACTTTTGTGTTAACCCAGTTAGTTGTACGCATATTTGTATGCATAGTATTATTATATGCGGCCCATTGTTGTTGGCTGTTAACTTTTTGGCACAATTGGCAATTGGGTTTTCGGGTCGTACGCTCAGTACTCACCTTTGTTTAGTCGCCCTTTTTTTTTTACATATTTTTTTGTTACTTTTTTTATATATATTTGCATAGCCATTAATTTTTAATAGTTCTGTCGCATTTCGCGTCCTTTGTTGCTGTTTTTATTTTTATTTTTTTTGCTGCGCTGACATCAGCCAATGCAAGTTGCCTTGAGTCGACACCAACCCCCCCTCACTCAACCCTCGTCCTCTCCCCTAACCTAATTGAAAGTCAGTGGAAACACATTTGCCAGCCAACTTGATTAGCCAAGTTTAATTCAATGCCCGCTGTTATCAGAATCAAATTATTCAATTAGGCAAATACTTGAATTAAATGTGCGACCTTCAAGTGCGCAATTTCACTTGAATTTCATTTCATTTTATTTCAAGAAATCTAGAATATGCATAAGAAGCTTTTCAATAAGTGTTCAAAATAGGTTAGAAAACAGTTTGTTTAAATTATTATGGCTGTTTTAAAATAACGAGTATAATATATATTTTATAGGGTATTTGTTAGCGGGGAACAGTTTATAAATAATAACAAAATTCTAGATGCTGCCTTGCAGCCATAAATCAAGGGTATTGTAGGGTATGTGGATAGTCGATCAGCCTTTAAAAACAATCTTATAGGCTGCTTTCGCAGGAGAAAACCATTGTTTTGTAGGATATTTGATAGTCGATCAGTTTTCTATTTGTGATAGAGTTGAGCAGCACACACAAAACCTATTGTGTTATAAGATTTAGGCACATTGGAGATTGAAACTGTTTATTTTAGTCATCAAAAGTAGTAGTAGTAAGTGTTTTATAGGGTATTTAATATTCGAGCCGTTTCGTGATTGTCACAAATAATAGCTTTCTTCTTTTTTATATGTATTTTGTCTTATAGAATGGCGCATGTCTGCATGCCATATACTGGCGGACTTTATAGCCTTACAGGGTATTTGCTAGTCAATCAACTGTTTGTTTCACTTACTAAGTTGTGGTTTTCTTTCTCTCTCTCTCTGTTTCTCTCCCTGTGTCTCTGGCAGTCGCTGCGTCGCTCAATTGTATGTTCAATACAATTATTTTAACGCTTGTCCCACAAGTGGCGACGCGTTGATTGAGAGTATCTTTGATTGCGGTGCGGGTGTGTCTGAGTGTGCGTGTGTGCGTATGTGTGTGTGTGTGTGTGTTGTGTTTTGTATGGGGTACCATCTACGCATATTTAAAGTATGCGAAGCCCTGATAGGTCACACAGCCCGTCGACCAGCCAGAGAGTCAGTCATTCTTATAGTTAGTTGCCGTTCGGACGCGCTGTCGGCTCTCCGTGTCATGAATTTCGCGTCTTGCCGGATTGCGTCGCCGTCGACGTCGGCGTGACATAGCTCCAGCGATCCTTATACAGAGTGCAAGATTGAAAAATTAAAATTTTATTATAGACAATTAAGCGAAAGCGGCGCGTGATAAGCAAAAAAAAAATCAAATAAATAAATACATTTTCAGAGAGCGAACAAATTTTTAAGAATTCAGAGTGCAAAAAATAAAATATTCAATAAATAATAATTAAATAAATACATTTTCAGATAGCAAAATAAATAAATAAAAACATTTTCAGAGTGCAAAAAAAAATCAAATAAATAAAAACATTTTCTGAGTGCAAATTATCAAATAAATAAAAACATTCTAAAGAAATAATTAATAAAAAAAAAAAACAGCACGTGCCATGAGTTGCTTTCTGCGTTTATTTGTAAGTGCAACAAATTCCAAAAATGCGTTTGACTTTGTGTCTTCTTGTGTTTTAATTAAAATTAGCAAAAATTTGTTTAATTTTATAAAGTCAAATCGAGTGCTAAATGCGCTTACATTCGAAGTGTTTCCATAGATACCAGTTTATTATATGGATAAAAACTTTCGGTTTCTTCTTATATATTTCTCTGCCTATATTGTAGCTTTGGCTGTGCTGTGACTTTCAAACTGTGATTAACAAAAATATGTGCATTGAACCTTTTTGTGCCTTGTTCTTTTAAAGTGATCCTCAACTAAATCTATTATCTAAATTTGCTTTTTGAAGTTATCAAAATATGATGCAACATGATATATCATATAAAGCTGTATTATATAGAAGCCACATGTTAGCAAAGTTTTCATATAAAATACTTCCTTTTCTAATTGCTATATGATATAGTAGTCCGATGCTGATGAGATATTTTGTCTCTGTCCAAATTAAAAAAAAAAAAGAAATGTGAGGCTTACAAAATCGAAGTTATGTGCGAGCAACTGTGTAGCCTCACTGCTGAATTTATAGAAAATTTCTTGAGTAAAAGCAAATGTTGGGCTGAAAAACACAATTTCTCAATCAATATTTCGCATAAAGCCATATGGTATGGTAGACCGATGTGTGATAAGATATGGCTTATATATATATTAGCACAGCGTCAAGCTATCTTGAAAACATTAAAAGAACTTTATGGACGACCGATCGTCGCTAGGGTTCCCATGACTATATAGTATAGAGTTTTCGGATTCTTCTAGCAAAGAAAAAGGTAGAATAAAAATCGAAACCAAGATTAGACTTAAAAATGAGAGACAAGCTCCCAAAGAGACATAACTATATAGACTCGACTCTTACTGCTGATCAAGAACATATATCGCCGACTCTTTCAATAAGTCTGCTTTTAGGCCTTAATAGTAGGAGCCTCTTGTAAAGCTAAAACCAAAGGTATAAAAAAGGCAATTCTCCGTCGCGAATGACTCGTCGCTTGGTCAAACGCAAATCTTATCGCACAAAGTCAACAAAATACTTTGTTTTGTTCAAACGTAACAGTAACCAAATATGTACATAAATATATATGTATATATATATTTATAATATATATATATCCATTATTATATTTATTGTATTACACAATTCCATCTGCAGTTTGCCAACTGTCAAAAGTCAACTATTCTTTTTTTTTTTCTATCTGATTTTCGCTCATAAACACCTTTCAGTTTATTTGCCAAGCAAAAAAAGTGCTTTTAATTAGAACGTTGCGAATTCTTTTCTTTCTTTTTTCTATATTTTTATCCAAAAAAAATGCGTTTCATTCAATTGCCAGTCTCACGCGGCGTGCGAAATTCTAATGTTTAGCCAAGTAAATAAATTACCATCAAATTGAAAAACTTCATTTTGACGGATTTGCCAAAGCGCACAAAAATTTGACTATACACAAAGGTATATACCGTAAAGTACAGTGAGCACTCAGTTATGAGAACTGCGTCGCATTTTATCATTTGCAAACTAACAGGCGAGAGGTTGCCGGTTCAAATCCCACTATCGATTGCCATATTTCTTTTATTTTTAGTATAATATTTTTATATGAACCTTAATAGATTAATACTTATTATGTGTTAATTGTGGTTAAACCTACGCCGATTCGAAACTCAATGTGAATCATCTGGAAATAGTTAATCGCTTAAATGCGCAAATAGTAAAAGATCGCATCCGCTTAGTAAACCCTTGTCATCGACATTATAGTTTCTGCAACCGAAAAGGGGCACCTATCTAAAATTTCCAGATTAACAACTCGACTGCTCGATGCTGTTTTGGAATATATATACTTTATAAGCTCAGATGTGTCTACTTTTATGCTTTACTCATGTCATGACAAAATTATAATACACTCTAAAAGGCATAAGAAAATCATATTATAGACGTTAAGAATATTTTTAGATTCTTTTCGTAATAAATCTCTTGAATACATAGAAGAACTATAAAATATGACAATCCTAAACATTTAGTTTGTTGCAAATGAAATTGTATAAAAATTGTTTTTGTTCCCATTTACGAGTGTTCACTGTATTCACATGCACATTTTGCAAATTTGGCCGCAAATCAGGGCTGGCTAAAAAATTCATTAAAATAAATTAATTCAAAATAATAAAAAATATCTGAAAAGCAAAAAGGAACCGAAATTGTTTGCGCTAGCCTTAGGCAAAAGCAAAAGGCGTATATGCATATTTTTCCTAATAATACCTAAAATAAATGTAAATATATATTCTTAATGGGAGCTCGATCCCTAAGCTTCATGCTCAGTTGGCCCCAAGCTCGTGCTCTCCCTTCTGCCAGCTGTCCGGCAGTCTGATCTGTGCCTTGATCGTCTGTCAATCAGAACTGCAAGTCTCCTTTAATACTCCGTTAATGGGATAATATTTATATCAATTTCTGGCCGCAGTCAATTTGAATTTGGGGTATATATATTTTTGCGTCAGCCCTAATATAAACACCTGCTGCTTGGCTATTTATTGTTGCTATTTGTTTATAGCGCTGCCAGCCAGCCAACCTGTGCCGCAACGTGTAGTCGTAGCCGTAGTCGGAATTATTCGCGCAGGCAACCTTCATGCAAATATGCGAATTCCTTAAGCGAACGCAGTTTCAATTTGTCTGGGAAAAAAACAAAACTTGTTCAAAAATCAAGTTACATTTGAGTTGGGCAGCGACATCAGCTAAAAGCGCTTGAACTAATCTCTTGTAACTTCTTTGTCCTAATTGCAGGCCAGCACCGGCAAAATAGAGGGCAATCCGCTATCGGAAATTGAACAAATTGTCAGAATGAGCCGGGTAAGTACATCTCTCTCGCAGTCTCTCTATTAAAATTGCTAACCAAACTTTTGCTGCAACAGGAACAACACGAGTCCAACAGCCGCGTGGATGGCAGCGTGGCAGGTGAGGCCGGCGGCGAGGGCCCGGGCGCAGACAATGCGGCGACCAATGGACGCGCCGAACTGGGCTTTGTGCAGGACAACAATGACAAGGTAAGTGCCAAAGTCATTATTAGCCAGAAAAGCAGCATCAACTTAAATTAAATAACCTCAGAACAAACCCGAAACCAGCGATAGCGAAGCGGGCGCTTTAAGCAGACGCCAATTGGTGTTAAATGAGCTCGTCGCGACCGAGGAATCGTATGTGCAGGATCTGCAAAAGATAGTCTACGGGTAAGCCTCGCAATTTAAGCTCAATTTTCACATAAATCGAAAACAATTTAACTAATTGCAGCTATATGAAAGAGATACACAACAAAGAGATACCGAGACCAGCGGATCTGCAGGGCGGCAAAATGGATTTGGTATTCAACAACATCAAAGAGATCTACGAGTGGCACAGAGAGTGAGTCACCATCATGTGCTTAAACCCACACACAAACAACTAAAGAGATTTTTGCTTTCAGTAAATTTCTGAGATCCTTGCGCCATTGCCAGAAGTCGCCGGCGGATCTGGGTCCGCTCATCGATAGCTCAACCAAGAAGTTCCCCATGTACTACTATTTCTGCAGCAACAAGCCGCTGTCCGAGTTTATAGTCAATGCGCATTATCAGTATTTCGATCAGATACGCCAGAAACTGGGACATCGCATGGATGTAAGCACAATTGACCACATTAACTATATGCTATAAGGAGTTTATCTTATCTTACCCAATCTTGGCTCGGACTTTCTGACGTCTATTTAGAACGTTTACATCATAGAATTTGTTTCCAATCGCCTAGAATTTTAATTGGCATTCATATGAAACCAAAGCAAGGTCAATTTTCCGCAGAACCAAAGTTCCTCCAATCCAGGTCCCTCTTTTTTCACCCAGAAACGTGAATTGAGTCTCTAAAAAAAAAAAAGAAAGCCTTGCGGGAAACATTTTCCAATTTCCTTACATCAGCCAAGTTATTTTCTGTGGAAAATTTCGCTTCCAAGTATCAAAAAGATGCAAAGGTGAACTTTGGTGTTTGATTTGAACCAGCAACCTATAGTTTATTAGTTCGAAGCTCAAGCTCAAGGTTCGTAACATCACGTTTGTGCTTTGTTGTAAAAATTCTTTATACAAATTGTGACCAACTGATTTAGAGGTCGACTTTTCCTAGAAAACTTCTGTAGGGCTTGCAGTTTTACAGATCCCATATATATAGATATATATATTCATTAATTGATCTCCTGCTTGCAGTTGAGCACGCTGATCATAACGCCTGTGCAGCGCATTACCAAATACGGTCTGCTGATCGAACAGATACTACGGGAAACGAAACGTGCGGGTCTGCACAACGAGGTGCCCGCTTTGATGAAGGCGTGGGATCAAATGAAGGATGTCGTTAAGAAGGTCGACGACATGATGGACGTGTTGCGTGGCCTCCAGGACTTTGATGGCGAGATCACGGCTCAGGGCAATCTGCTGCTACAGGGCACGCTCACCTGTGCCATCGATGCGGGCCAAAAGCAGCGCGAGCTGCAGGTCTTTCTCTTCCAGCAGATCATGATCTTTGCGGATATACAAAAGGCGAAGACACAGTACACCAGCCCCATCTACAAGTATCGCACGCATATACAGGTTAGCTAAATCACATATGGCATAACACTTGGCAATATTCTAATAACAAATTCTATTCCAGCTCAATCACATGCAGCTGGAGCCAGTGAAGGAGGGCGATTATATTTTTAGAGTCAAATCAACGGATCCAAATAAGCCAACTGTTAGCATCGAGTGCCAGGCGAGCTCCGAGAAGTGCTACGACGAGTGGCTGGGCATGCTGAACGTGATACTCGAGCAGCAGAGCGATTTAATAACCCGGCTCGTCAATCCACTCAACAAATGAACAAACAAAGAAACACACACACACGCAGTGTTGAATTCCAAAATGATATATAATATATATTTATATACAGAAACTACAATTACGCTGAGAGTAGTTCCATAGAAATGCCACAAAAATAAAACAAACTGTTTTTGGGGGTCCTGCCCAAAAAAATACAAACTCTAGCTGAGCGTCACACACACACACACACCACACACACACGGACACATACTCAAGTCCTAATTTGTATGTAGCTTGTAATTTATTTATTTTTTTGTTCATCTTATAATAACTTGCATAGATTTATGTAATTTTTGTCATATTGTGCCGTCTGTATTTTCTCTCTCTGTTGCCCGTGAAAAGTATTATATGCTCAAGAATACATATATATTAATATATATATGTTTATTATATATATATATATATACATTATGTGCATTTCGTAAATTAATTTTCTGCCTGTTTTGAAAATACTTTTATATTTTTTTTAATATATTCTCCAACAACTCAAGAGTGTACTCCGAAAAACAAAAGCAATACGCGAAATACTTAAAAGTGGAACATTAAAAAACCAACCAAACACCATAAATATAAAGTTAATAATTAATGTATTTAATGAGTACGTTTAGTTTTAGTTCTTTTGCAACATTTAGTTATTAACTTAAATTGAACTGAACTCAGCTTTTCAGTTTTATCGCAGCGGTGATTTCTGTAATTAACTTTTTGAAATTAATTTAAGTTTGGCTTTAATTTATATTTACAGACACACACACACACACATATATATATATATATATATATATATATATATATATGTATGTATTTTATATATGTATACGTATATATATATATATTTTAAAATATAAAATATTTAAGCTTTAAAACTTAATCAAAAGATTTGCGTAAGCTTAGACATTTTTTCAGTTATTAATTTAATTAAATAATAATAATAATAATAAAAAAAAAAACAATAAGTATAATGCCTACTCAGATATCAAATTTAATTTGTTTTATTTTGTATACACTGCTTTTTATGGAATATTTCTTTTTGTTGAACACACACACACACACACACACACACAAACAAAGCATATTTAACATATTTAAGCATAAGTATATATATATATAAATAATATTTCCCTTTGGTGTGCGTTATTGTTAGTTAGATAAGAGTCGAATCTAGGGGCGTGTACAGTATAATAGTGTATGCGATAAGTCGGTTTAAGTCAGTTGGTTTGACAGTTAAATATATATACCCTATATATATACGCATACACCAAGATGTCGGTCAAGTAAAATACTCTCTATAAAGTAAAATAATTAATAAAATGGACCAGGATTTGATTAAATGTATAAAGCACTTGAGAAAGTTACTAAACGGTTGTTTACACACTTCATTTACTTATTTTCCATTTCTTTTAACACACACACACACACACACACCGGTAACTATCTTGAACATATTTATAAATCAGCATAAAATTTAAACAATAATAATTTAGCATAGCTAAATATTGAGAGAAGCAGAAGTGAAGAGAGAGAGAGAGAGAGAGAGAGAAGCGTAAAATGTATTTTTTTACATACGTATATGTGAAATGAACCTCCGGCATTATTGATGATGATTAAATCTTAAAGACGAGAACGCTAAGAAAATTATTAAATAAAAAATAAAAAAACGCACATGGGACAAATTTAAAGTTCACCTTTTCTACATTTTCTGCACCGCACACAAAATACACTAACAAAAAAAAAAAAAAAGAATGAATAACCCAAAAACAAAAAATCTATGTAATTATGATATATGAATTATGCAACGTACTCTATTAATTAAACTTATTGTTGTACTTGAAAATTGTTACGAGCAAATACCAAAGCACGTCGAATCGGGGGGCAAATGGAAATTCTAGATAATTGTGTGTGCGTATTGTATGTATGTATAATGAATATGAATACATTCGAGTGATGTAAGTGCATCAAGTAAACGTGTTAATCTGTGTTTTAGCCAAGTAAGCAAATCAAATGCAAAAAGCGATTGCGCCCCGACATCAAAAATTTGCAAAAGCAAACATATATATATAAAGTATATACATATATATCGAACAACAAAATGTATGTACCCAACAACAACAACAACAACAAATCCATGTAATCTGAATTTAAAATTTTCAAAAAGAGTAATAAATGCAAAATGTAGATGAAATTAACATGATTCAAATTCACAACGGACATTTCAAATATTGCGCCCGAATTGCATAGCAGTCAGCTTTTCAGCGCATGCACGCACAGTATGCTGTGCAGCGCAAGCAAAATGTTTGCTTATGGGAAAATTTAGCCACATGCAATTCACAACAAGTTGGCATCTCTTCGAATTCTGCCGAGTAATGCAAAAGCGTCGCAGCAGCAGCTGCAAGGAAATTCAATAAATTTTCATTAAAATTTGTGAAATATATACATATATATATATATATATATTGTGAATAATAAAAGTGTTATGGAGGAGCTACGCAAGCATTTATCCAAGGTAAACGTGCCCTGCGGCAATCCACCGATCTACAAAGACGAATGCGTCTTCTCCTACGATAATCCGGAAACGCCGACCGGACTCTACGTGTGTCTGCAAAGTTTTCTGGGCTTTGGGGAGGCGTACGTACAGGAATATGCCGCCAAAACCGGCAATGTGGTGTTTTTACACATTAAGCGGGAGCGCAAACTGAAGGCGGGCGAGTCGCATGACGAGAAACTGAAGGCCGCCTCGGAGGAGGCCGAGGCCGGGCCGGAGCGCAAAATCACACGCCTGGCGATTGGCGTCGAGGGCGGATACAATGAGACTGACTTGGCTAAGAAGTACGAGATCAAGGACACGTACAGCATTGTCGTGGCACCGCATCTGGACAAAAAGCTGCCCTACCCGGATGCGGACCTGCCGCTGCGCGTCACACAATGCGTGCAGGCCATACTGGAGGCGGACTCGGCCATTGCCAAGTTGGAGAAGGCCACGCTCACAGGTAAGTGCATGTCAGTCTATCCTGCGTCAAGTGAACCGCCTGGCGGATACTCTGAATCCGATGCAGAACCTTAATCCATAAGCTAGATCTTTAGCTAATGCCGACTCGATGCAGGCACGTGGGATGGCGAGGTACGTCAGGCATCGAAGTATGCCGAGAATCTGCAGCAGCTGGACAACGGCAAGAAGATACCGCCAGCGGGCTGGCAATGCGAGAAATGTGATCTGACCAACAATTTGTGGCTAAATCTAACGGATGGCTCCATACTGTGCGGTCGGAAGTTCTTTGACGGGAGCGGCGGCAATGATCACGCCGTCGAGCATTATCGCCAGACGGGCTATCCGCTGGCCGTCAAGCTGGGCACCATTACGGCGGACGGTAAATCGGATGTCTTCTCCTATCCGGAGGACGATATGGTATTGGATCCGCATTTGAGCAAGCATCTGTCACACTTTGGCATCAACATGGCCGCCATGCAAAAGTGCGAAAAGTCCATGGTCGAGCTGGAGCTGGAGATAAATCAGCGCATCGGCGAGTGGTCCGCGCTGACGGAGAGCGAGAGCGAACTGCAGCCGGTGGCCGGACCCGGTTTTACGGGCATGCGCAATCTGGGCAATTCGTGCTATATCAACAGCGTGATGCAGGTGCTCTTTGTTATTCCCGATTTCCAGCAGCGCTTCGTTGGCAGCGGTGCCGAGCACTATTTTAAGGCGTATCCCAGCGATCCGGCCAACGATTTCAACATACAAATGGCCAAGCTGGGCAATGGGCTGCAGTCGGGCAAGTACAGCAGTATTGCGGCGAATACACTGGATATGGAGCATATGACGGGCATATCGCCGGCCATGTTCAAGAATATTGTGGGCAAGAATCATCCGGAATTTAGCACCAAGCAGCAACAGGATGCCAACGATTTCTATTTGCATTTGCTCACCCTGCTCGATCGGAATTCGCGCAATCAATTCAATCCCGCCGATGCGCTCAAGTTCCAGCTGGAGGATCGTGTCGAATGCATGGCCAGTCGCAAGGTCAAGTACAAGATGCGCGAGGAGTACAGCTTCCGGCTGCCCATACCGCTGGATCAGGCGACCAATTTGGACGAGGTGCGCGAGTATCAGGAGCGACAGCAGGCGGCACAGGCCAGTGGCCAGCGTCTGTTGGATCGTGATCTCGTGCGGCACAAGGTGCCGCTGCAGGCTTGCCTGGAACGCTTCTTTGGCACCGAGCTCATCGAACAGTTCTATTCGACGGCCATCAATGGCAAGACCACGGCCAAGAAGACCACACGCATGGCCAGCATGCCCGACTTTCTGATGATCCATTTGGGCAAATTTACGCTGGGCGACGATTGGGTGCCCAAGAAACTGGACGTGTCGGTGGACATGCCCGATGAACTGGATCTAGGCGTTTGGCGTTCCAGAGGCGGGCCGCAAGCCGGCGAGGAGCTGCTGCCGGAGCCAGCTGCCGAGACGCCCAAATTCGTATTCGACGAGCATGTCATGTCCGAGCTGTTGAACATGGGCTTTCCGCAGGAGGCCTGCAAACGCGCCTGTTTCCATACCAAAAATAGCGGATTGGAGGCTGCTTCCAATTGGCTTATGGAGCACATTGCCGATCCGGATATATCGGATCCGTTTGAGGTGCCCAACACACGCATTGGCGACGGCGCCGCCGCCGCCGCCGCCCATTTTGCTGCCAATCCCGAAAGCCTGGCCATGCTCATGAGCATGGGCTTTGACGAGCGCCAGGCGGTCGCCGCTCTAAAAGCCACAGATGGCAACGTGGAACGTGCCACCGACTGGATATTCTCCCATGCCGAAGGCGGCATCGATGATGTGCCAATCGCTGCGCCCGCATGCACCACGGCCGCCGCTGCCGCATCCACGAGCAATTATCGCGACGGCACCGGCAAATACAAGCTGGTCGCGTTCATCTCGCACATGGGCACCTCCGCCCAGGTGGGCCACTATGTCTGCCACATACGTAAACAGGGCGAGTGGGTCATCTACAACGACACCAAGGTGGCCAAGTCACAGAATCCGCCCAAAGATCTGGGCTATCTTTACTTGTATATGCGCGACGAGTAGACGTTGATCTATACACATAAAATAAATGAAAGGAAAAAATAAAGCGAAAGCGATTTAGAAAGCGAATCCCGATGCGAATTCCTACGCGCACGCCCTTTCATGAAGAGAATATATCAATATACACAGATATATATAATCACTTGGAAAGGAAATACTTTATATATGTCTATCAGTACTTCCTTTTTAAGTAATCTTTAATATGAAAAAATCAGGCCAGATAA